AACTTTTGAAGATACCAATGTACACCATTACACCAAGTAATCAGGGTACCTATTTTATCCATAGTATTGTAGCCTGTAGGCTTGTAGTTGGTTTTTATTATCACTGTTATTACTTATCTACCGTGTTCGCATTATCAAAATAATGATATTGAAGATCTATTCAATGATGCCGTGGATAGTGGAATAAATTACAATATGTGGGTAACCAATATACACCTAGATATGAACAGAGAATAAATGGACGAAAAATATATTTAAAAACTCGAGTGCAAAATTATATGATGACGTCGACTAAACAATTTTTTTAAAGAAATTATTAATAATAAAACTATTATACTATGTTGTTAAAAATCAATTGACACAAAAATTAAAAAAAAACTATTTCAATTAAAATCTTATATACTATAAATTTATTCACACTATTCCCAATCATATAATATAAGCCGTTATATCTTGTTACTTAACTCAACATTTTCCCATGAAATATAATGATATCGGTAAACTATGTAATAATAATAAACCCGTTAGATTTGCAATGTTTCGAATGAACCCCTAACCATGCGTAATTTTGTTGAACTGCAGAAGTAATTTTCTGAGTGTTCTATGAACTGAATAAAATTATTTATACTTTAACTAGCATTTAATTTAGGTTTTTCACGTGTTGGCTAAATGCCATTTAAAATAATTAATGTAATTCAAATAAATCTAATGCAGGCATAACAGTCATATATTATGATATATTTTTACTGAACGCTTTGATATTAAGAATAATATTTTATTGTTATTAAAATTAAACAACAACAACTATATATAAATTAGATTTAAAATTAAAAAGTTTACCATAGTGATAATAATATCGTTACAGGCTCTCCCTATTCATCACAAGCTTCGCTTGAAAAAAAATCAAATATGTATCTTAATAACGTAACTTCTTATGCCATTTATGTTACCTAATACATTTTTGATTTGGTATCAATTAAAATATAGTATTACTCTATATATTATTTATGGCTACCTAAGTCTATTTGAGGAATCTTATACTAAATTTTAAGATCTTAGATATAAAAGGAAATATTTTTATGAATTTCTAACTTTTGCAAAATTTGCAATTTTTCGTTATTTTTGTCTAAAATCCAAATTCATACGCTTATAAAAAAATTATCGTAGATTTACGCTCAAGTTTTTTTATAACTTCCACCATGAACCACTTACGAGGAACTATGTATTACTTTTTAAAGTTTTTTGAAAAATTTTTTATCGACATTAGTTTAAAAAAAACTAGTATTAATCAAAAATGTTATACGATTATAAATAGTTCAAAACAAGTCAAACTATTTTGAAAATGTTATGGTGTATAGAAAACAGAAATACAAAAATTCAGTGAGAATTTCATGTATCTACGATATTTTTTTGTAGAGTAACATCAAAAGCCGGGTTTCCGTAAAAATTCTTGTTTTTTCCGTCGCTTTTGAAAACTAATGGGAATTTTTTAAGGCTGTTTAAATTTTATGCCATATATGAGAAATACATAATTTTATTATAAAAGGCATACTCCACTTATTTTGATTAGAACTTACCATGAATTAATTTGAATAATGTGCATTACTTATGCATGTATGTAGATAATTTGAAATAATAATAAAACAATATTTTTCTATAAGTTCATATTATATTTTTTTGTTTATAGTTTACGTTTAATGGACATCCAAAATTAAAATACTCAACATTAAGTATAATTTTTTTATTTGAGATGTGCTAATAGTGTAGTATGATTTATGTTTTTTGAAAGAAGCAATTTTCGTAAGAGAAAACTTACAGGTATTAATTTTTACGTAGTTGGTACTTTTTCAAGGGGGGGGGGAGGTGGATCAGAAGTAGGGGAAAACTCACCAAGAACGGTTGAGAGAAAAGGATATTTACGACTCACTGAAGTTGTTGACAAGATCAAAATTTTTTTTTTGTTTAAATTATGAAAATAGTAGAGACTTGAAATTTATATTCTAAATATATGTTATATCAAATATTTATATAAGCATTTTATTTACAAATTAAGTAGGAAGTATGTATTTGTATGTTCACAGTTCGTTTTTCCACAGTAAAAATGTTTATTCAAGCCGAAATGTCCGGCTGAGAGGACACTGCAGATTTACTGCATCACACACTCACTGCAGTCTACCTATTTGCGCCTCATACAAAAATATTTACCGTGCACACTGTACACACCAATTTTTTTTTCATCAAACTTTACGAAAATAATATTTCATTTAAAGAACACCAATGATTAAATACATTTTTGTTTTGTTATAAACTAATTCTAAATTATATTTACAGCATTTTTCTTACTTCTCTAGTAAAAGGTACATATTCTACAATACGATCATGAATTAATAAACAATAAGCAGTTAAAGTGTACACTCAGGTGCATCAATTTCCAATTGAACATTCTCCGCTGAGGCTGTATACCTGAATCATTCTGTTTTGAAGTATCGATAACTATATGATTGGGGCGTTTGAAAAATGTAAAAACTCAATATCGGGTTCCGTATATTTATTTCATAGTACCTATACGATTCTTGAAAATATGTATACATATCATATAATAAATTGCAATTAATCAATGAAAAAAAAAAATGTTACTATAGTATAGTAAATATTTATTTTATAATTAAGTTTTCCAAAAAACAAAATGTTGGTGTTAATACAATATATATTTTTGAGTGAGTCGCAAATGGGCGGAACATGAGAGTGTAATCTCCATAATGTGTGATACGGTAAATTAGTGTGGTCGGAGCATCACATATCCGCTGGAACAATCATTTTTGCAGTGGAAAAACGAACTGTTATTATTATTTTGTAGTAAAAATGCATGACTTTTTCAATTTTTATACTTTAAGTTTGAGAATGTAATACAAAGTTCCTCATAAATTTTCCTTACGATAATTTACTTATTCAAATGTATTAAAATACGTAATTACAAATCTTTTTGTAAGCTTTTTAAATTTAAATTTTTACCAGATTGGATAATTGAAAATATAAAATAACTTTTTTTCTTCAAACGAGTTTAGTTGAACCACCTATTTGAGAAACGACATAAGTCGCAAAATATCACAAATTGAGATATTGAGTGGAATGTGTTATCAAATGATAGAAGTATCATATGACGTGAACAATTGCAAAAAAAAGTATTGAATTTTACCACTGAAAATAATCAGTATGAAAGAGAAATAACCATGTATCTGGCAACGTAAAAACAGTTTTTTCTTGTTTTCTCCGAGTTACCTTTTATTGAATTACATCGCATCTCAAATAGATGGTTCAGTTAATTTGTTGTACTTAATTTAAAAAATGTATTAATCGCAGAGACTTGAAACATTCCCCTGTACCTTTTATACACAGTGAATGATCCATAATATTTAAACTAATTTTAAGCTTCTTAAACAAATTACATTTTTAATTGAATGTATTGTTATTTCGATACGGGTATATTAGTAAAATGGTTTTGCTCTGTTAAAATTCTTAAAAATACAATTTGTTCGAAAAATGTGGAAACGCTTTGATTTCAGTTTGCATAGTTTTAGACCGATTTTTACATATTATAGCAATGGCAGATAATGATGGCGCACATTTATTAAGTAAAATACATATTTAACCACCTCATTATATATTTATATTTTATTATAGTTTATCACAACTAAATAGTCTAATGACTGTGTCCAAACTTAACACTATATTATGTAATACAAGGTTTGTCATAAGTTGTTCTTATCGCAATTTGTAATATTGTAATTTCGTTGCAATTTTATCGGTTCTGTTTGTTACACTATTTCTATATTTAGGTTATACAATCTAGAATTACGACCGTCCTGTACTATAAGTTGTTATTCTCGATTTTTACGTGGCACGCGGCACACCCATTGACACTATTCATGGAAGGTCTTTACCAAAAAAGGACTACATACCATTGATTGTTTTGCACAATGCATTTATTTAAGTTGGGTGGCATAAAAAAGTGCATCTAGTATAATTGCATCAGGAGTGACACGTATCACCATAATATATCCGCAACTACAACACCTCTTCATATAATTCAGGGACAAGTTATTGTGATATATTCACACAGTCGATGGCGGAATACTGTAGAGATTGTATTTTGCCAACGGAAGTGCAGAAGGTTAAAGTATTTGATAAAAGTTTATTCGTAAACGTAATAAATTGTATGCGGACATTGCGAATGTAAGTGATATACATAAACACTTAAAAGTATTTTTATTTAAGTAGAGATTTATTACAATAGTTGTTATAATTATTATTTGTTATTTGTGGGTATCTACCATAGGTATCAGAGCCGTAACTAGCCCAGATAGCAATTTCATATTTTCACAATATGTTAAACATATTTGCCAAGAAATATTAAGATCGCCACAATGTGTTTCTTTGGTTTTATCTAAACTGTTTAAATACGTTTTAAATGTTTTCATAATAACCCATGGCAGCTAAGAAAATATGGTAACAATTATTCAAAAAAAATATTTCAACAATATTGCTTTAATTATTATATCAACGTTAATTTTAAATATCGTGGTAGTATTTCAAAACATTGTTATATCAACATTTATTTTAAATATCCTGGTAGCATTTCAAAACATTGTTGACCCAATATTTGTTTTAAATATTTCAAAAATATTTCTATAAATATTGTAACAATGTAAATTTTAAATACCGTGTTAATATTTTAAAGAATAGTTGTCCCAATATTTGTTTTAAATATTTCAAAAATATTTCTTTATATGTACTTACACATATAGAATAATAATAGTCTTCCATGCCCATATATATATACTTTTATTATATTTATGTATTAAGAAAATAGCCTTAAAACACATTTGGACTTCTTATTAAATAATCAAAAATATACTACAAGTTTATGATATTATCAATTTCAAATTTATTATAATTTATTATAAGTATGGTGACTTTCCATAACACAAATATGAATACAATTATAATATATTGTTAGCTGGCGAGTTGTTTTTTTTTTTTGAAATTCGGTTTGGTGCCTGCGCCAACCACTTGGCAACAATGGTGGAAATCTCTTGGTCCGGCGTTGCAGTGAATTTTTTTTCTTTTCTTATAGCATCTAATAAAAATTCATAATCAAATTACAATTAATACAACCTTTAAAATAACTACATCATACCCCTGTTCATACAAATTCATAACATATCATACTTTAAGTTAGGAATAATCAAATTCATCAGGTTATATTTTTTAATATATTAAGAGTATTTTTTTCACACGGCATCAAATTAAAAATATTTAAAAGTACAAATTTATGATGGCATATTGTAATGTGAGTCATGAGCATTTAAAATATTATATGTTTTGAAAATTTTTAAAATTACTATTGTTTTAATGTTACATGATTAATTTATTAAATATTACCGAATAGTAATTGACAACAGCACAATCCAGAAAATTTGCATTTTCCTTTGAAACCCAAGTATGAATAGTTTTGGAGAAATGTATCTTCAAACATTCTGGACATCATACGACGAACTGACTCAGAAATACTTTTTCCTATTAACCTTGCCAGCAGTCCTACCTGCAATAATTCAAAAATAAAAATATTATAATTATTTCCATATATTTATTAAGGTCAAACAGCTAAGATACAATTATTATTTTTTTTTTTCATTACATATAAACACCTAATAATAAGGTGTTCTTAATAAGAAAACTTACTTCATTATTTTTTATAAGAGTGTCAGTCAACAATTTTTCACTATCGTCTAATTGGATCATATTTGTTATTGGCCATTTTAACTCTTGGATATTTGAAATATATTGTTGCTCACTGTTAGAAGAAATGTGTGAGGTGTTCATTTCAATATTTTGCATAATTGTTTTTAATGAATCGATTGAATATGATAGAAGTTTCATATCATATTTCATATTTATTAAGGATGATTTAACAAAATTAACAAACTCTGAAAAAGAAAAAATGTTGTCATTTTTATTTAGATTTAATTTACTAAGTAAATTTTAATTTTAATTACCTGCATCATTAATTGAATTTGAATGTTTGATTTGGACTGATGCATCAGGTTTTGGTGTACTTTGAAACAACATATTCTCATCAAAACCTGTTGAACCCAATATGTCAAAATGAAATAGTTAAACAGATATATATTATATAAATATATATTATGTGTTATATATAAGAGAGCAGACCACATTATTATTATTATATTGTGCACAATCTTTTCATAGGTATTTAAATTTAGATAGTATATTGTATTATTAAATTATATTTTGAACTTGAAGAAGCATATTGAATAAGTTAAATTTATTTTTTATTTATTTTTTTATTTTTTTATAGTCTATAGGATTAAGCAAAAACTATCGACTGTTAAAAAGATATTATAACAACTATTACATAAGTACCTAAATTATAATGAAGTACCTATATATAAATATAATTGTGCAATAATTTACCTGTAGCCAATGTTATGTTATTGTCAATGATATCGTCTGTCTCAGTAAAAAGTAGTGATCTTTTTGTGCTTGATGACTGTGTACTAATTATTTGTGAATCAATGTTATCAGCACAAATATTTGAGACCTGATCTTTACTAGTACTAGCCAAAGGAAAATCATATTGTTGTGATGGCCATAACAAATCTTTGCTGGCTGTATCTGCATGTTCAACATCTATATACAATATACATTTTAAATTTAAATTATTTGTATATACTGTTACAAGTATAGGTTAGGTAAGGTTAGGTACCTATAGTAAATTATAAAATATATTATCAATAACAAATACACTTAAACTACATACAAATTTATATTATTACACTTTAATTAGTTAGTTTATCATATAATTTAATTACCAAAACTCTCCTCAAAAATTGGTGGTGGACTAAGGGACCTCTTTTTTTTAAAGGGCTGAGACTGTTTTTTAGTAAAGAAATCTTTGGAACATTTTTTTTTTTTACTAACATTGTCATTTGTTATGTTTTCTTCGGCCGATGACAAGTCTGAAGAAAACATACCTTTTGCAGCCTTTTCTTCTGCTTCCTTAAGCGATTCTAAAATATATATATATATTTTATAGTAATATAAAATATGAAATAATATTAAATCATTTATTGTTTATAAAAAGTGAAATACACTATTACTATTATGTAATATATATTATGTGTACTATAACGGAACTAACCTATCGGTGAAGAGCTCAGTTTCCTGGCTGGAAAGCGGTCAAATTCTGACCTGGTCGGTTCAATCTGATTTTGAATCAAATCACTTTTGTGTTTAACAGCTTTTTTTGGCCAGGCACACATACCATCTTTGTACCAGTTTGTTGGTACCGCAGCAACACTATTATCATTTTGAAACACAACAACTATCCACATCTTTATACTTACTAAAACAAAAGTAAAATAAATTAAAAATTTATGTATATATATATATATATATTACAATTGTGTAGGTACCTATATTTAAAATTATATTATACACCTTTAATCTATGTATAAAACCTCTATTAAAAATGTACAGCTCGTTATGTACAAATAATATATTATACAAATCTATAACATGCAGACTGTGTGAATAACTGGCATTGCAATTTGTTGATCCATAGAAACCAGAATCATTACTTTGAAATGGATATCAGTTATTTTCCAGTATTGCAAATCAGTTGATTTATTCTTCACAATGTATATATTAAATTTTGAAGACTTCAATGGGTTTTCATAAAAAGGTTGTTTCCTTAAAAACTTATACCCAATAACAACTTGCTCATTTGTATCGATAAGGTGTGCAATATTGACCACAGTTACTATATCTCCTCTAAATGTTTGTACAAATCTGTCTGCAGTAGTTTTTAATTTAATAGTAAAATTTTTAACCTTCAAAGTTACCAATTGAGGACCACAAGTTATATTTTCTATTAAAGGACCTAGTTTATGATGGTAAACTTTTTTAGAATTAAGTTCCATTGAACTACCATCTGCAACAATATCATTTGAACATTTCTCATTATACCGCCGAATAATTTGTTGTAAAGGTAGATCATGTTTTCTAATAGAAGTTTTCAGAATTTTCATGAAGTTTTCAAATGGAAAACAAGAACAGAAATCCAATGGACCAAAGTTACGATAGTCATCAACGATATGCAACAAACCATGCACATTATGAGAAATGTAATGTGATCCATAGATATGTTGAAAACTCTTGACAAAGTAATTTAAAAGTTTATCGGCATAGTCAATTTTATCACTTTGATTTGGGCTAAGTAAAATTATCATCGCAATATTTAATGCCATAAAATTTGAATAACAATCTTTAGACAGAACTTTTTTTAGCACTATAGGACCAGTATATAAAACAAACTGTCTAAATTCAGTAGCTTTCCATCTACTTATTTCTATCAGACTTCTAGGTTTCCTTACAAATTCAATTGGAATGCAAGGTTTAAGAGATAGCAACAATTCACTAACATTTGATACTTGCTTACTAGGCAAACTAACTGAAACTGGTCCTTTACTAAGCCAAAGATTTAAAAGTTTACGCATAACACCTAACATAACAAGATGCATATAGTCAAGTGGAAATGATTGTACCATATCAAAATTTAGTAATTCAATAAGATTAGATGTAACTCCTCCACGTAAATGATGTTCTGCTTGTATCATATTAAGATAACCATTATGATCTCTCTTTTTACTATGGATTGCAGAATATGGAAAACAAGTTCTATTTTGTAAGGATTCTCCAGATTGAAAACATCTAGTACAAGATGAAAATCCAGTATGTCCTTTCACTTTCATAACAAATGATTTTGCGGGCGCGTCACAACAAAAAGCGTAAATTATAATTTTCTTTAAAACGCCTCCTACAATAATCCCATTTTTTAATAATATTTTACATTCATCGATGAAATATTTGAGATAATCATTACTATCATTGGGCTTTTGATTACCATGATAAATTCCAATAGGAAAAACATTTTCATCGTGTGGATGAATGTATCCTAAAATCGGCCATAACTGACTCGAACTGCTTTTAGATAGTGGTAGCCCGTCAACACCAATCACTATTTTAATTACATTATCCAAATTTATTTTTTTTGAGTTATTGATAATTCCATTCTCTAACCCAAAATGGTAGTATATACCAGGATTTACTTCCTTTATATCAGTGGTAATTGTTGATTTAATATTCAATAACGTTCTACTATCCATTGGTAACAATTTTAATGGTAAATAATCTTCTTCTTTTAATAATTTTAGTAATTTGTTTAGTGTTGTATGAGGGACGTTACATTCTACAGACCAATTAGCAATTTTATTTTGTAAATCAATATTTGGGGCACCATTATTGGTAGACAAATTCAATGAATCAGTAATAATATCATTAACTAATTCAGAACCAACTAATTTCTCATTGGTATTGGAAATATTATTCGTAACTAATTTTGGTGAAGATAAAATGTTATTAGATCCTTGATCATCAAATACTAGGGAAGTATTTGACTGTGTTGCATTAAGGATTACTTCTATATTATTACTAGTTAGTAAACAAATTTCTTCTTGGATTTTTCTTCGCTTTGTTCTATAGCTTTTAATCATGGTTATGAATTTGTATCTAGTTTATGTTCAAATAAACATTATAGAACCTTAAAAAGAAAGAAATAAATATGTTTATAATAATAATGTTATAATTTATTACAGTATTGCATTTATAAAATCTATTAATTTATTCAATGATAGTACCTAAATAAATTGTTTTGTATTCTCACTTAAGCTCATAACATCAGATCTGAACTATATTTGAATATTGTGTATCATAAATAGTTAATAATTATATTATATTACATTTTTATAATGAACAATTATATGATTAAAATATGATAGTATGAATTTAAGTGAGAACTAAAAACACTTCATCTATAATATCAATAAATAGGTACACTAATAGATTTTTTGAATGCAAAACTATTATAACATTATTATTATAATTACTTAATTATTTGGAAATATCATACCTATATATTAGTTCAGTTTTCAGTCCACTGACTTATGTATTCCATATGTTATTGGGCATAATACTCAATCGTTTATTAATGTACTATCACACCTGTATCAAATTTTGATAAATCTGAACTCTTACTTATTGTAAAAAAAGAAAAGTTATCTATTCAGTATTTAAATTAATTTATTATTATTCAGTACTTATTAACTAATATAGAGATCCAGATAAGACTATAGACAAACAACAATTTTTTTTCAATGCAGCCTATGAATTCTTTAACTACACACATATGACTCAATAAAAAAAAAAGAATAATGATTTCGATATTTCAGGTATCAGGTATACACAATTTTATAATGAAATTATAACTATTTATAAATGTTGACAGTAGTGTAATAGTTTAACTGTATTTTTTTCTTTGATATTTTTGACCAAATGTCATCAATCTCCAATTATGATGATATTATTACTATAGAGATGCAGGAGAGCATAATTCTGTGGTATCAATTGCAGCATCCTATGTGGTGACGGTTAAGCGATAAGTGAGATAAAAAAGACACCACCAATTATCGTCAAAGATATTAAAAATAATACTAGAAAAAGATTAATAATTAAAGAAAAATGGGAGAAAAATGTTAAAAAAGTCAAGGAATTCTGGCCAAGAGTATGTTAGTGCTAATGAGAAAGCTACTGCTGCCAAAATAATGAAATTGTCATGTAGCGAGAAATGTAGACTAAAATGTGCTAATAAAATAACAACTGATGAATTTACCTAATATTATACATAATAATAATTGAAAATTAGCAGACATATCATTAATGCATTAATAAACAAAGAGAGTTTATTATAATAAGGCACATGTGAACTTTATTAATCTGAAGTATAGATCTCCATAGGAACCAATGAGTGGTAGGTCTTTAAACTATAGTTATATTATTAAGTCAAATGTATTATATATATAACTATTTATCCAAATAATGCTAATTTTTATTTATTTACTTGACTTAAATAATTATAGCTAAAATTTATTATATTAAAATCAGGGTCATTAGAATTTGAGTGGCTCAAAGCAAAATAATTTTTGAACCATTTTTTCTTTTTTATTTTTAACGCGAAAAATCACGTGGCTCAGAATCTGTGCTTTGCTCGCAGCTCTCTACCCTCCTCCCCAACCCTAATGACGAACATGATTATAGTATAGGTAATAGTATTATTGCTTAGGTATTATAGTATAGGTACCTACTATATAAATGGCATATTATATAAAATAGATAGGTACTTACATTTGTTATTCAAAACCACAATACAATAGCGAGGTAGGTACTGTATAAAACTGTCAGAACTGCAATCAAAATATAATAATAACATAATATAATAAGCTAAATGTTCAAACGTATACTTTAGTATAAATTATAATATAATATACACAAGTTAAATTACTTACGATAATATTGAATTATAAAATATAATGAATAATGAATCAGACTTCAGGTTTCAGACAGAATTTACAAATGTAATCAGCTGTAAGTGTAGAGTGTCAACAATAATGATCACTGACTTATGAAGTTCTGACCACGAAGTTGCAGGCGGCAAGACAGACAGGACAGCAACTGGAAACTGCAGGTCTGCAGACATGAATGACAACAACACGACACGAAACGCAATACAAAATACCAATATAAATAATAACAAATAATATGATAAAATGATAATGTTCAACGATCACAGTTCGCAACGCGCGATAATATCGATTAGGTAGTTAGTGTATTAATAAATATGAAAAGGGGCACAACGGAATACGGAAAATATTATTATCCCGCTATAAATATCACATATACAAAGAATAATACTATTTCGTCTCGCACGTCATAGAGTCTACGATGGTATATATACTATTTACCATATTAGCGACCATATTATTATTTAATAATCACCCATTCTTGCAGTCGTGGACACGAGCGCTGGGTCCCGCGATCCGTTGTCGTTGCAATAAATAATATTATTATA